CCTGTGCCTATGCTGAGCACCTGCTCTCCCTCCACATCTACACAGGTCCCAGCACTGCTCAGAGGGGCCATCTAACCCAGACTCCCTGTGCCTATGCTGAGCACCTGCTCTCCCTCCACATCTATACAGGTCCCAGCACTGCTCAGAGGGGCCGTCTTACCCAGACACATCTACACTTTGACTCATGATAGATAAAGATGCCATAAACTATCTACCTGACATACAGATCGTCTGAACATCCACACAACTTGTAAATCATCTCCGACTGATCCTGAACCTGTGCTTTCCATCTGAACACCCAGACTTTTCACATACTATAGAGGGTACCTATGTGATGGAAATCCTGGGCTCGTAGTCCTAATCATCAGGATTCTGAGTAGACAACATGCTACAATTCATAGCCAGGGGAACGCAGTGTGTCCTGTTTCTGTGATTGTGCCTCTTTTCCTGGTACTCTGCCTCCTGCCCTTTTTAAACTGATTCTGCTCTGTATCCTTTCTGTTGATTTTTAGCCACAAGTATGGCTAGATGCTGAGTGGTAAGCGTCCTCCTAGCTACTCAGTGAGCTTTCTGCCAGTATTTGATTACTCACCAGGGGAACTCCAGTTTAGGAATCCTTTCTCTTTCTCTAGTGACCACGGATCTTCTCCTTGTTCCAATGTGAAGATCAGTTCTGGTTTGGGAAAGCAGAACCCTGTAAGTAGGAAATGATTTAGAACTTGAGTAGGCTGCGTAGCTTCCGCTGCTCCTGGATGTGAAGAGAAGCACTGGGGGAAGCCGTCCGTGTAACGCGTTAGGGCCTTTCCTGGGCATCACAGCCAGGGGAGGGACAGGTCTGGCACTGGGAACCTCCCGTGGCTCTCCCACGGAGACGGATCGCCCAGTACACGTGACCTTCTCTCCGTTCTGCTAGAAAGCTCCCAGGCAGCACACTAGAGAAGGGACTGACCCGTCATCAGGAGCTGAGCAGCCCACCTGCCCCACCTGTATCCTATTTTGGTGGAAATCTTTCCTGCAAAGCCTGTGAAGTCTCCCGATATAAACAGAGCAGGCACAGGCCCCTTTGTTAGAAGCTGGACCTGTCTGGTCAGCTGGCCCATCCTGTCCTTGCCTTTGAAACTACTTTCTGTGTTCTGTGGTGATTTCACCATCCTGTCTTTCTTAGCTTTTATGTCTCAGCCAGCCCATTCCAGTGGAGGGGACTCCATTTCCACCGCTGCCCAGGGTGCTGGCAGTAAAGCACAGCTTAAAAAATGGCACATTTTGGGCTGGGGATATGGCTCAAGTAGTAGCGCGCTCGCCTGGCATGCGTGCGGCCCGGGTCCTCAGCACCACATACAAACAAAGATGTTGTGTCCGCCGATAACTAAAAAATAAATATTAAAAAATTCTCTCTCTCTCTCTCTCACTCTCACTCTCTCTTAAAAAAATGGCACATTCTTAAAAAAATTTGCTGTACCTTTTGGAGGGAAAGTGACAATAAACATTTTTTTTCTTACACTCAAATAATTTCCTTAAATCTCTGAACTGCAATCCTAAATAACATTATATACTAAAATGGTCAATGTCTTGGATTTAAACAGGAGATTTCATGAGGACTTCCATTTCTAACTATAGTAAAATAAATTCATTTATCTCTCCATATCAAACATCTAAAAATAAATGTATATTCCATATACAGGCTTAAGACAAAAGGCAGGAGAACAGAGTAACAAATAAGGTGAGCCCTATAAGAATAACAGATTATTATCTCATATTTGGCAGTAGAATTATCTCATATTTCCTAGCCTTTAAGAGACTTGCCTTGATTTTCATAACACTGTTTCAAGGACACTGTAAAAAGTCCTTCAATTTGAGATTGTCTGATGTTTTTCTCGTAACTAAACTGTTGTTGTGTATATATGGGAAGAAAGCCACAGATTAAATGTCTGCCATTTTTATCACATTTCATTAACGGTACATGCTACCAACACTAATGGCTGGTGAGGTTATCCTTGTTCATCTGGCTGAGGAACCGTATGCCAGGTCTCCACTGGAAATTTGCTCCTTCTCCCCTGTGCATGCTGTACTCTCCAGAAGGAAGTCACTGGGCACAGCCCACTAAAGTAGAGCACAGTTATGCTCTATCTCCCTGAAGGGGCAGTAACTACATCAATTAGTAGGATAACTCTGTTTAGGAGATTTTTCAACTTTCCCCAATTATTTATTTATATTCAATGACTTAACTTAGTATTCAAGTACGGGTATTTTATACTTTGGGTTATAAATCAATAATTTATTGTTGCTCAAATTGCTGAAGTCTGGGCTACTGAGAATTTAGTACCCCAAACTGAATTCCTCCTCTGTTCTCTGTCCTATGCACATATCTTGGTTCTTGAGCGTTTCCTCACTTTCTGGATCTACAAGATACTCCATGCTCATCTCACACTCCTTGTCTGGATCCTAGAATCAGCCACTTCCCCAGGAATCCTGGCTCCTTTTACTGGCGATTGGTACTAGAAACTACTTGTGGTCTAGGAAACAGATTTTTTGTTTTCAATATTCAGTTTTGGCGCATGCTGTGTTTCTAGGAATGTGTTCCTCTCACCCAGCTGATACAATCTGTTGGGATACAGCTGTTCACAGTATTCTCTTATGGTCACTTTATTTCTGTACAGTTGGTAATACATCTCACTTTCACTTGTGATATCAGTAATTTGAGTGTTCTTTCTCAATCTAGTCTGTCAAATTTTCGTATCTTCTTAAGTTAAAAAAACTACTGGTTTATTAATTTTCTCTATAGTTTTCCTTGCCTTTATTTCTTTTCTAATCACTATTATTTCCTTCCTTCTACTAATTTAGATTTAATTGGATCTTCTTTTTCTAGTATTTTCAGATATAAAAGGTAGGGCACTGATTCAAGATTGTCCTTTTTTTGAGGGGGAGGGCGGGTATCAGGGATTGAACTCAGGAGCACTCAACCACTGAGCCACATCCCCAGCCCTATTTTGTATTTTATTTAGAGACAGGGTCTCACTGAGTTGATTAGCACCTTGCTTTTGCTGAGGCTGACTCTGAACTCACAATCCTCCTGTTTCAGCATCCTGAGCCGCTGGGATTATAGGTGTGCGTCACCAAGCCTGGCAAGATTGACCTTTTTTAATGCATGCATTTAGGGCCATCAATTCTGATCTTAGAATTACTTTCACTGCACCATCAAAGTTTTGGTTTATGATATTTTTTTTCCTAGGTTTTTCCTTCCTCTTTTTAAATCATGTTCTTGTTCTCAAGAACTTCTTTTCTGTGCCCAAATTGGTAAAGTTATACTCTGAAGGGATATTGTCCTTTCAAACAGGTCATCCTAGGCAGCTAACTGTGCATTGCATTGGGGTCTCTGAGCAAAATTCTGTGACTTGAACTAAATAGTTTTAAGTATGGATTTTTTTGAAAACTAATATTTAATATTGCTTTTCCTGAAAGGAAAAACTGCCTACTTTGCTATTTAAAAACTCTCAACAACTATTTTCTACTGCCGCTTATTTTATGTGCACCCACAATGAAAATGTTTAAATTAACTATGTTGTACAAACAAACAGAACTTTATAAAAATTAGCCAGATACGGTGGCACATGCCTGTGATCTCAGCGGCTCAGAAGGCTGCGGTAGAAGGATCATGAGTTCAGAGCCAGCCTCAGCAAAAGGGAGGCACTAAGCAACTCAGTGAGACCCTGTCTCTAAATAAAATACAAAATAGGGCTGGGGGTGTGACTCAGTGGTTTAGTACCCCCGAGTTCAATCACCAGTACTTGCCCCTCTAAAAAAAATTAGTTAAGGCTTTTTGGCTCATGTTTCAGCACATGGTCACCTGGCTTCAGACCATGGACCTGTGGCGAGGCTCAGCACCATGGTGGAGAAGGCAGGTGCAGCAGAGCATCTCACCTCATGGCAACCAGGAAGCAGAACTGGCATTTATACAAATCCATCTGATCTTGCTTGTCTCATGCTGCATCATTTAAATGTCTTGAAAATTTGGTTTTTGCAATAGATGCTTTAATCTATGACTCCCCTTGTAATAACAATATAACTATATTGCTTCACATATGGTGTAAGCATCTTTATAACTGTGCTCCCTGTAGCCCATCCTATCCCATGGAACTGCTGTGATCCACTTCAGTTATCTGTATACGCTGATCACCCAACCACTGTAACGGCTGTTCGTATTTTCCTTTGTATCCTGGGTGCTCTAGGCATTATGCCAGGAGGCTCTGGGTTTTGTTTATCTTCTGCTTTAGGAAGTGTCTGGATCATTTCTGGTACCATGGCAGCTGGAGAGGCAGATACTACTTCTTATTTCAGGGTGAGGTCTGGAGTCCAGGTTCTCCATCTGGTCTTTACTGACATGTGAGAGTGCTACGGTCCCCTCCAAAATTCATGTTGAAATTTAATTCCACTGTGATAAATTTAATCCTGAGACCTGTAAGAAGGGTCAGACCCTGAGTGGGACTAACACCATGATACAAGAGTGAGTTCAGCTCCTTTCTCCCTCTTGCCCTCTTTGAGCTTCCACCCTATGCCATGTGATGACACAGTTAGGAAACCCTTGCCAGAGGCTGGCACCATGATGCTGGATCCAGGAGTACAGAACTCTGAGCAGGTTCTGTTTGTTCTGAATTACCCACTCTGTGGTATTCTATTAAAGCAGAACAAAACAGAAAACGTAAGAGCAAAACTGGTGCCGGAGGAAAGAGGTGCTTCTGTAACAAATACGTGAAAATGTGCAAGTGGCTTTGGAATAGGTGATGGGTAGAGGCTGGAACCGTTTTGAAGTACATGCTGGGAAAAGCCTTTATAGTCGTGAATGAAGCACGAGGGAAATTCTGGCAAGGGCTCAGAAAGAGAGAGTTATAAGGAGTCTGAAACCTTTTTTTTTTTTTGGTACCAGGGACACTCAATCACTGAGCCACATGCCCAGCCCTTTTTTGAAAATTTTTTTTTTATTAGCCATAGGGTCTCACTAGTTTGTTGAGGGTGGTTTGGAACTTGCGATCCTCCTGTCTTAGCCTCCAGAGCTGCTGGAATTCCAAGGGTGTGTGATCACGCCCAGGAGCCTGAAACTTCTTAGAGATGACTTAAGTGGTCACGTATGTTGAGGAAAATAAGGGTGATAAAGGTAATTCTGATGAGGTCTAAGATGGAAATGAAACTGAAGGTATTAGAAATAGGAAAAAAGGCCAATCTTATTATAAAGTGGGAAGAACTTGGCTGAATTGTGTTCATGCTGAGTGTTTTCACTTTATTTAAGAGCAATAAATCAGGCTATCTGGTTCTTGCTGTCACACAGTCATATATATTTAATTTTCCATGTTTATTCAGCTTGTCAATGGATATTTGGACTGTTGGTATCCTATCACTCTGACAGACAATGCTCACTAAAAATCCCTGTGTATATAACACTTTATGTTTGTGTAGGTATTCCTAGAGATGCAGTGGTTGGGAAAAAGGTAATGCATATATAATTGTTTTTTTAGTTGCAAAAATTACATTCCTTAAGGGAAGATTTGATTATGTTACTATTTTATTTAAAACCATCAATGACTACTTACTATAAAGAGATAACTAATCACTCTCAGCTGGATTCTACCAGACCTTTAAAGAAAAACAAGTGCTAATACTCCTCAAATTATTCCATGAAATATAAAGGAACACTTCCAAATT